GGATGGATTCAAAGATGAGTGTGGCGCCGATTCATACATAGCGGCTACAAGATAGATCGGCCAGCTAGTAATCAGTTCGACGCAGATAATTCCGACTAATGGGAGAAGAGATGAAACCATAACCCTAACCCTATCACTACAAAAGCTAAGAAAGATGACCTTAATGTTTCGCCGAGTTGAATCAGAAGGGCGGCACGACTGAAACCACAGCAGAAAAAGAGCGCCGATGGAGAATAGAGAAGGGAAGGAGGTGGGATTCGTGTGGTACTTATAGGGAGGGATGAGAGATCTGAGAGAAACCCTAGATTCGTTTCGCAAGCAAATCGACGGCTGTGAATTCGCGATCTGGATTGGAAATTGCTATAATTAGGTTTATGAGTATGAATCGAGCTGAAATTTATACTTGATTATCTATTTATATCTTTAATATAAAATAACAGATCTTCGATATTTCAAAAACATATCTTTATTTTATTAAATGCTCAATTTCTTTTCAGAATAAATTATTTTCATTTTATTTAAAATATATAATAATTTAAAAGATTTAAAAAAAAACGAGCATTGAAATGCTATAAAAAATTTACATGAATATGCACAAATCTCAATGCACATTAGATAATATAATTTTCAAATTTAAAATTATGATTAACCAAAATTTGATTTTTGCAAATTTATATATCAATTCAACATGTTAATAATATAAAGTTAACTTGAAGTGTGATTGAAAGTTTTGAATCATTAATTTAAACATCAAATGATTTTCAAATTCAATACTCAATTTTCATTAATTAGAATGATGAATGATCAAAGAAATCAACAAGACAATACGATGTAATATCTTGAGATTTTGACAAAATTTAACAAAGTTTTACTCTCAAAACAATAAATAGAATCACATTGTCAACATAAAAAAAAAAAAAGTAGGGGAGGAAATGAAACTAGGATTTAAGTTTATGTTTTTTGAAGAAAACTTAAAGCTAATGATTACCTGTCATTACATAGAAGTATACAAATTATGATGACCATTGTTTTCGTTAAATTTTTAGGTTTTGTCAGTTATTAACATTTGTTATGAACTCAAGTCTGGAACAATATCCTCGATAAAAAAAAAAATTAAAGGCTATATGCTTGTTGGGATACTAAATACGACGGTTTACCGATGGGCGAAAATTTTTGGCAGCATTCACACGGCCTTTGGTCATCCTTAATAATATGACTGGTAGTTCTGTCAGTTCCACTCATTGAGAAACTGATGGACATGTCCATTGATAACTGAAAAGCCCGGTGGACAAACACAATGAAAGTCCGCCAGAAAACTATATTAGAAAAAAAAAAACCCTTTAGCCCAATTAAAATTTTTACACTTGAAATCTTATCACAAAATATAATATAACAGAACTCATATTATTTCAGAATAAAATAGAGGCCCCATAATACAACCACAAGTTACAAATAAAGATAATTACAATGTACTAAATCCTAATAAATGAAAAATTAAGTATACAAGTGCCTTGGAATAAAATATATTTATAACATTTTAATGTCATATGCATAAATGACAGCAATGATATAAAAAATGAAAGAATGCTTATACTCTTCGACAGTCTACTCATCGTTATTATCTTCATCATCAAACACCTCCAGCAGCAGTTCCCTCGCTAAGGTGCCTCACATCACACCTCCTATAGCTTGCTCTCCATCCTCGCCACCATCTCAAACTTCAGCGTCCATGGATGTGGAACTCTGGTTTGAGAGTGTCATGTTTCGTAAGTTGCTTGCTCTGATGGCAAGTTGTAAATTCTTCCCACAACGGCTTCTATCCATATGCCAAAATAAGAGTGGTCAAATCTAACATTAGAGCAAGAAGCTCCTCTCAACATCTAACTCTGAGTATCTTTCAGCGGGTGTTACTCCTACAAAAAATTGAAAATTATAATTAGAGGCAAAATAAAATTTCAAAATAATTGTAACGATATCATAATTATTATGACACTTACATATATATTAGTGAACATATTATGCCATCGGGCTACCCATCTAGCCTCAAAACTTTGTCTAATATGCGAATGATATCAGGTAGCCAGGAGCCTCGTGAATTTCTTCTGCATGAAGAACATCAATCAGTTAGATGGATACACGATACAAATTGAGTTTACCATAAACTTTCTAAATCACATATCTCATACTACAATCATACCACAAATGTTAATTTTAGCACAAATGAGCTCCCTAAACCCTTAATACGATAAAATCTTATGATTGATATTAGTGAACATATTATGCCATCGGGCTACCCAAATGTTAATTTTAGCACAAATGAGCTCCCTAAACCCTTAATACGATAAAATCTTATGATTTATATAAGACATAAATGAGAAACTAAGTAAATCATTTGTTAATTAATGATTAAGGTGCATTTCATTAAATATTTGGCATGACATCTTCATGGATTTGAATGAAGCGGATATGAATTACAATTGAATCGTAGAATTATGTGTAACAAGCATAATTTATATGTGAATGCATGAATTTCATTTATAAAAGAATATACCATTACGAGGAGGGTTACTCGCATCAAGCTAGGGTGTAAACGAGTTGAGTCGAGTCAAGCTGGAGCCGCCCTCGACTTGAGCTTGAGTTAAATTAATTTTATCGAGTTTGACCTCGAGCTTAAACTTAAGTTTACAAGTTCGAGCTGACTTGTTTATTAAAAAGGTGAGAAAATAATATTAATTTAAGGTAGATTTATAATAAAATGACAAATACAATGAGAAATTAGAAGATAAATAATAATAATAATAATAAAATTTAATATAAAACATAAAACATCAATTTTTAAACATTTTTAATATTTTAAAGAAATGGTCTTTAAATTTAGTATATTTATAAGTATATTATATTAATATTTTTTAAATCAGACGGCTGACAAGCTAACGAGTCGAGTTGGGGCTAGCTTAAAGCTTGTTTGTTAGCTCATCAAGCATAGTTCATGAGCCACTTATCAAGTCAAGCTCGAGCTGGCTCACGAGTCGGCTTGACACACTTACATTGAAATGTAATAAAAAATTTACATGAACAATATTTCTTTTTTGAATTGTTTCATGTTAGATGTTTGGTGAGGATAATAAATGTTGTCTTTTCAGCAGTAGAAATATCCCGCACAAAAAGTTTTATCATATATGAAAAATCCAGAAAGCAAGACAAAATATTGTAAGAGCAATATTCTATTTAAAATGGTTCGACTAATTCAGATTGAGAATTATAAATGTCTACATTCCCCATAATTGCAAGTGAGATTACAATATAGTGACTTTTCTTATGGAAGATGTCTCTTGTAGGGTATTCTAATGTTGAGTTTGAACATTGAGCAACCGACAATATTTGCTCTAAGTAGTTTAGGTATGGGGTGCTCTCAATGGGTATATTCTATGATGGTAGAGGAATGTGATATTCTAAGTGTGTATCATTAACATAGGCATGAAATTGTCTTATGGGAGATGTCTCTCGTAGGGTATTTTGATGTTGAGGTTGAACTCCGAGCAACCGACGATATTTGCTCTAAGTAGTTTTAGCATAGGGTGATCTGGATGGATTTATTAGAGGAAGGTGATGCTCTAAGTGTGTATCATTAACACATACACCGACTTGATCTGTTCTGTTATGAAGGAGAAGACCAAAAATTTGGTTTTAGTTCATCGAAGGAGTTTCTTGAATGATGGGAGTCGAAGCAAAACTCGCAATTAATTTGATTGGAAGGATGTCCATATACTTATTTAATCAGCAAATGGTTGGGTGACTTCACACATTATTTGATCAATAAATTATTGCTATAATTATCTAGATGTTTTGACATCTATAACTTTACTTAAATATTTAATCCAATGAATTTAATTAAGTAGCCTCTCAAATTCTGAGGCACTTATATACTTAATTTTTCATTCACTTATGAAAAACATTTTGTTATATGCATAAATGACAACAATTATATACAATTAAATGACAGCCCAATCATATGATATAAAAATGAAAGAATGCTTACAACAAAACAGAATAAAATATATTTATAACATTTTAATGTCATATGCATAAATGACAACAATTATATACTTATAAAAAACATTTTAATGTCATCCTGAAATAACTCGCGGTCTTTATTTTTGAGTTATTTCTGGGTTATTTCGGTATTATAAAAAATAACCTAGAAATAACTTAAAAATAACTCAGAAATAACTTCCGCTGCATGTAGAACTACGTTATTAGTCCGCACAGAAAAATATTTGCCCTCAAATAAAATAGTAACTACGGTCTAAAATGCCAAGCATGCGGAAAACTGTGATAAACATATACTAAAACTACCTACAATCTATATGAGAGTAAAGTATGGATACTTAACCTCAATCAATGATTAAAGAGTGACCAAGTTAGTTTTCATCACCTAATGATAACTCTAATACTTATTATTACCAACAAAGGAGATGTCACGTATCCAAGGCTAATATATTGTATTATTACTTTCTCTTTATACGGCAAAAACCCTCTTATAATCATTGATTCACACTAGTGAAATTCTTTCACATTTGCCGAACTGGAAGAACTTTTCCTTCTCATAATTTTCTCTTAAGAAAATTTCTCTCATGTATTACTCCTAAAATTCACACTTTTTGCAATCTTCATGCAATTATAAGAGTTTAAGCTCCTCATCCACCATCATGAATATTTTAACAAGTAACAACAACAATATATATATATATATAATTATATAAAAATAGTGCCCATCAATAATATATATATATATATATATATATATATATAGTCATCTATTGGGTGGCATCCACAGTATATGACCCCAGGTCGGGGTTCGAAAAAGCCTCTGGCACAGTTGGTTTTAAGGAGACGATACTCGAATTGTCAGACACATTAGAGGTGGTTGGAGACTCGTATAATGGACTCAGCCATTACTTTTATATATATATATATTGATAGATAGATAACACAACATATTAAGAGATTCTCAAGAGTTTTTCTTTGCACCTTGATATAGAAATCAAACAACAAATATATGATATAGCCATCTATTCATGTCGCCCTATAAATGACAAAGAAAATAGAGAGTTCATGCACGAAAGATCATAAGTCCCCTCCATAAAACATTCCAATCCAACCATTATGTTCCTAACTCAACAACCACAACTTTAAAACTACAGCACAGCTTCCATTACTCCCATCATCTTCCCCCGCAACTCCCCCCATCTGCTCCAAGTCCCCTCCATAAAACATTCCAATCCAACCATTATGTTCCTAACTCAACAATCACAACTTTAAAACTTCAGCACAGCTTCCATTACTCCCATCATCTTCCCCCTCAACTCGCCCCATCTGCTCCATAAACCAGCAGCAACATTTCTAGACTCACCTCAGTCCATTCCCCCCATTCCCCCTCATCTCCTCCTCCTCCTCCTCCCCCATTTCCCTTCTCCCAGAACCAAAAGAACCAGCATGATACAACCTGTTGGAACTCACAGACTTATTAATGCCTCCATGATCCAAACCAATCCCCCCTCCCATGCTCCTCAACATACTCCCAACACCAAGAAAGTCTCTTGTCAGCCCATTGTTCTGATACCTTCCTTCCTCCATATTACACAACCCTGCATCATCAAACTCTGCAAACTTAACATCTACTTCCTCCTCCTCCCCCCCTCCTCCTCCTACAAACACTCCCGGACTTCCATTAGCGAAGGAATTCATGATATCCATCAAATGCTTCTCATGATTCTCCACCTGAGCCCTCAAGTTCTGCTCTCCCAAGCTCGAAGTCGCACCCATCTCCGCAGCCTTCTGGAGCAGAGCAGTGGCCGACATTTGAGGAAGAACTCCATTACTGAACACTGCTTGCATTTGATCATTCATTAGATTCCCACTGCTGTTGATGAATTGAGAGTTTTGGTTGTTGTTGGAGAAGAAGCTGAGGTTGAATGGATTGGAGGGGGAAGATGAAGTGTTGTGAGAGTTGGGTTGGAGATCAGGGAGGTGAATCAGGCCATGGAAGGAAGGCTTGGTTTGAAGCGCGTCGTCCCCGGTTAGGAAGAAGGTGGTGGGAGGAGGAGGGGGGTGGAGGTGGTCGATATACGGTGGTCCGGTAGAGAAGTTTTGGCTGGCGGTGATGGTGGAGGTGGCGGCGGTGACGGAGGAGCTCCGGTGATATTTGATGGTTCTGATTTTGGTAGTGCAGAGAGGAAAGGTGGTGGCTGAGTGCGAAGTTATTATTGTTGTTGTTGTTTCTGTAGAAATGGCTGCCAATGGTGGGGAGTCTGGAGCTTTCCTGTGCTAAGGCGTCGCAGAATGCTCTGTGGGTGATGAAGCTGTCACGCCTGTATTAGAAAATTCAGGAAACACTTGTGTATGAAAAATTTCATAAGAAAATTAATGAAATTTGTTCAGATAAATTTGAGTTTTTTATTGTTAAAATGTTTTAATCAGGTTATAAGAGTATTTAGTGGATATAAGTGATGGATAAATGTTACATTAGAAGCCCGTGATGATAAACTTTAGTTTGCTGCATGAAGTGCTTTAGGTGGAGAAAATATTACGTCTGGTAAACTGAATGTTTGGACAAGGGAGTAGATCGTACCATCTTGTATGGCGTGGTGTAATTCACGTCATCATCCGCATGTTTAGATAACAGACGTAATATTTTCTCTTTTGATGATAGTAGAGTGCGTTGTAGATGTTATCCATATTCACAAGTGAGAAGGAAAATAATGTAAAATATACCAATGTAGCACATGTTGTCAATTATCTCATTGGCATTGCAAATAAAAAATAACAATGAACTAAATGAATCTTTTGAGAAGGAATTTTGAATATGCCTAAGAAGATATACGGTAAAAGCTATCAATTCTTTAGACTACAAGAACTTCTCTACAAGAAAAAACCTTAATAAACTCCTTTTATTATTGTATAATGTAGAAGGTTTATTAAATATCATGTATAATTAATATATATTTATGTCTCGGATTTATTGTTCAAAGTGATTGTGATATAGATAGGGTTATTAGTAGAATTCAAGTTGGATGATTGAAATAAAGGAACGCATCGGGCCTATTGTGTGATAAAAAAGTACTGCTTGGATTTAAAGGAAAATTTTATGAGATGGTGTTCAATGATTTTGGCACAAAATGTTGGACCATAAGAGAGAAGCATAAAACTAAGTTAAATGTTGCTGAGATGAGAATACTTAGGCGGATGTGTCTTGACTCTTAGAGATAAAATGTGAAATGAATATATTTGTGAAAGGGTTGGTGTAGCTCCAATGACAGTAAGATTAGAGATAGTCGTCTTAAATCTTTTTGTCACATTCAACTTCGTTTGTCTAATGATCTCGTTAGAAGAGTAGATGTTCTTGATTCGACTTATGTTAAGAAAGGTAAAGGCAGACTTAAAAAACTTAGGCATGTTGTATAAAAAACAGGGCACAATGGAGAAAAAGGTTTCATGTAGCTGAACCCACTCAGTGGGATAAAGACTAGTTGTCGTATGTATAATTTGTTTCACTATAGGATGAAACTTGATTCGAAATTGCAGAAGAAGAATTTGATGAATGAAGAAATCCAAATGAAGAGGCTTTTCGTTACATTGCATGATGAACATAGAATTCAATCATCTTAGAAATAAGACATGAAGAGAAGTATGAAAACTCAAAATGTCAAAGAGAAACTATTTTATGCTAAAAATCTAATCTTGAGATAAGTCAACACTAGAGCATACAAATCATGGACACTAGTTCTTATTCTCCTGATCAAGTTGTTTCCATTCTACACAACCTTAAGCAAATTAAGATAGTCACTTGTACAATCTAAAAGTCAAACTTACTTGGGGCCCACTTAAAGCACTTGCAGTCACATGTAAAATAGTTGTAAGGCAATTGTTAGGAAAATAATTTTTATAAAAGCTATTTTGATTATTAAAACATTTTTCTCAATTAAAAAAGGTATATAACAACTTAAACACAATTGTGATACTCTAATACGGTACGTTTGGGGCGAACTCACTGATTAGGGGTGTAAACGAGCCGAACACGAGCGAGCCCAGACTCAGCTTGTGTTCTCAGCTTGTGTTCGACTCGTTTGCTTAGCGAGCCGAACAAAGAGTCATTTTGACAACCCTAATCGATAGTCATACGATATTAAAGATTGGGGCAAGATTTAAAAATTATTGCTTGTGATACTCTAATAAGGTACCTTCGGGGCAAAGTCACCGATTAGGGGTGTAAATGAGTCGAACACAAGCGAGCTCAGACTCAGCTCGTGTTTGACTCATTTATATTTCGAGCTCAAAAATGTAGTAGTCAATTAAGTTTTTTAAAAATACTACTCATCAAATATATGTTTGCTTAGCGAGCCGAACAAAGAGTCGTTCTGACAACCCTAATCAGATAGCCATAAAATGTTAAGGATTGTGGTAAGATTTAAAAATTATTGTTAATATTAAACAATCAATTGAATCTAATTTCATAATTTTTATTCTATTTTCTTAATTAATACTTTTAATTGATTATAAATCTGTGTAGCCTTATAGTCAATATATTTTTAAAAAATACTACTTATCAAATATATATATATATATATTAGAAATATTTCGAGCCGAACACGAATTAACTTAGCGAACGAGCCAAACACGAGCTTCTTAGCGAGCAAAACACAAGTTGCTACACCAGATTCTGAAAATGACAACATTGCCCTCAGTTATTCTGCAAAATTACTTCTGCTTAACCGATGAAAAATTGAAGGCAGACAATGCCGCAGCAAAGGGATTTCTGTGTTTCAATGCCGACCGAAGTTCTGTGCGCTCATTGTCTTCCCCATCGCTACTTCTGCCTTTGATTCTTTGCCCTTTGTTGATTTTAAGTGTGTTTTCTTTATAGCATTGCATTGTTGGTTTGATTTTTTTTTTTTTTTTTTGAATTTTCTGCAGCTATGTTAATGCTTAAGAAAAAAGAGATTTTCTTGGAGCTCAGTTGGTTGATTTATGTGAAAAATGAAAGCATTTTTCAGTTATTTTTTTGAAAAACGAAAGAATTGTTTGAGTGTTGATGCCTTTAATCTCTTGCATCTCTTTTGATGGATTTCTGTGAAAAATGAAAGCATTTTTTAGTTGTCTGAAAAATAAAAGGATTGTTTTGGGTTTCAAGGTTTTTTTTTTTTTTTTTTCATTTTTGTTGGTTAATGGATTTGCATTTTTGTTGGTTAATGGATGTGAAACCCTAAAGAATTTTTTAGTGGTTGTGAAAAACAAAGGCATTTTGAGTACAGGGGGCTTTTCTTATGAGATCAGAGCATTCGGGCCACTTACTCAAGTGGGTCGTGGAATTAAGCGAATTTGAGATATCTTACGTCCTCAGGAGGACGATAATAAGGGCGAAAGTGGTGGTAGGTTTTGTCACAGATTTCTGAGAACGAGGAGGACCGAATGAGAATCTAGCAATCGACAAATTAACCTGGTCACTATTTACAGATGGAGCATATGGCCAGCCGAGCACTGGACTTGAAGTTTGTCTATGCAATACTGTAAGGAAAAACATCAATCACTCAATTGAGGTAAATTTTTCATTGACTAACAACCAAGCATAATATGAAGATTTGATTGCAGGGCTTTGCCTAGCATCAGAGATGAGAGTCCTCCATATAATGGTGAAGGCCGATTTAGAACTCATTGTGAACCAGATCAATAAGAATTTGAAGCCAGAGATGAAACTATGGCGAGATACCTCAGAAAGGTGAAGACAGGGATTGGTTGTTTCACGAGATTCAAGATCGAGCTTGTCAGGAGGAAGGAAAATCAAGCCGACGATCTCCTATCCCGAAGCCTCCATCTAGGAAAAGGGGTACCAAAAAAGACTTGATCAACTATCCATGGAAGAAATAATGGAAATGGAGATATGCAAAGAGGAGGAGAAAAGCTGGATGAGTTCGTACGTCTGGTACCTCAACACATGGGAGATTGAAGAAGGGGATGTCGATCGAGGAGATTCAAGTATAAGGCTACTCAATACTTGTTAATCAAAAGGAAGCTCTTTAGGAGGTCGACCATATCCTTATACTTGAAATGCGTTTGGAAGGATAAAATTGAGGGCATACTCAAAGAAGTCCATGACGGAGAATGCGGAAGCCACTCTTGAGGAAAAACAGTTGTTAACTGAATCTAGTGACAAGGCTACTTCTAACCAAGCATACTTAAGAATGTCAAAGGATACCCCCGAAGGTGCACACAATGCCAAAAGCACAGACGACAACGCTATCAGCTGTCCCACAAACTCCATTTAATTTTCATTCCTTGGTCGTACAAACTCCATTTAATTTTCATTCCTTGGTCGTACAAACTCCATTTAATTTTCATTCCTTGGTCGTACAAACTCCATTTAATTTTCATTCCTTGGTCGTTCGCTATGTGGGGCCCCGATATTTTAGGACATTGTACTTCGTCCAAAGAGTAAAGAAAAATTCTACTAGTGGTCGTCGACCACTTCTCCAAATGGGTAGAAGCAAAGTCTCTTGCGCACATAATGATAGAAGTAGTCTGAAACTTTATCTAGATGGACTTCATCTGCCGATACAGACTACCTCTTGCCATAGTCACAGATAATGGGACTCAATTCACAGAGAAAGGAGTGCAAGACTTCTGTAAAAGCCAAGGGATAAACTTCAAGTTTACTTTTGTTCTCTACCCTCGAACAAATGTCCAAGCAAAGGCCACAAACAAAATTATCTTAAATTTGCTAAGGAAAAAAGTTGAAGGAGTAAATGAAAAATTGGTAGACTTTATCCCTTAAGTACTCTAGGCAATCCGAACGACGTCGTTGACGTCCACCAAACAGACCCCATTTATGTTATCCCACGAAATAGAGGTCATGTTGTCGTTTGAATACAACAACCACAGCCGTAGGGTGCTCTCGTCCTCAGCCATCGATGAAAAAGACCTAGGAGAGTGACTCAAGGTAAACGATGAGGGAGTTAGACTGACTCTAGCTCTAGCCGAGGAGAACAGAGCAAACACAGCTCTTCGGCAATAAGAGGTTAAGAGAAGGATTGTTGTGTACTTCAACAAGCACGTACGCGAAGAGAAGTTTCTTCTAGGGGACCTAATGTTAAAGAAAAACGATCCAACCACCAAAGGACAAGCTATCGGGAAACTAAATCAAACCTGGAACGATCCCTACATCATCAATCAGAGAGTGGGACCCGGAGACTACAAACTAAAGACACGCAGGGAACGCCATCCCTTAAACCTAGAGCGAAGACGACCTAAAGAAATTCTTCCCTTAAAGATATCACAATTTTTTGTGTAACACTTTTTTTCATTCAAAAAGCTCAACTCAACAAGGGTACTTTTTTTACATTTCATCTAAAAAGTCAAGATTACACATATTTGAATTCACTAATAGTGCTTTATTCTATCATTTTTATGCTCGAGAAACTAACACAATTACGCTCATGGAACTAACACAATTATATTCGGGGAATAAAGTCAGTCACGGTCGAGAAGCAAGCTTCATGAATGACAAAGTGACATACCGATCCAGTACCCACATGTGGCCTATGGGACGTATCGACACCCGACTACAACAAGCTTTGCAAGGGAGTGCGAACGATTGTCCTACTCCCTATATTGAATGTTAGCATCCGGCAATGACAGGATCCTCGAAGGGTGCCTAACTACAACATGTGGCCTATGGGACGTATCGACACCCGACGACGATAAGCCCTGCGAGGGGTGTGCGCACGATCATCCTGAGCACAATTTTAAAAGAAATTATCATCAAGTTGTTTATTGGACTTACTGATACCTGAAAATGACAAGCTTCACAAGGTGTGTGTGAACGGTCGTCCTTTACCCTATTCAGAATGTTAGCACCCGACAATGACAAGATCAACAATGGGTGCCTAATTACTACATGTTACATATAGGACGCAACGAAATATGGCAGCGACAAGCTCCGTGAGGGGAGTGCAAGGATCTGCCCCCACTCAAACGTAGAATAAGAAAAGCGGGTTTCAAACGTAGAATAAGAAAAGCAGTCCTCACCCGCTTTTTTCCAATCCTCTACTTTCTGAGGATAAGTCGCTCCTAGCCTAGTGAAGCCACATCTCAACCCCAGTTGCCGCCTCCTCAGTACTTCTTTGGGGAACCACGATTCTCGCAGCCGCCTGAGCAGGTAATCTTTCTCCCACGGCAGGACCATTCATCCCCAACGAATGCCCCACAAGAGGGTCGTTCAGACCGCCTTTTACCTATCCCACAACCCTCTCCTAAGGAGGGCCCGCAAGAAGACCTGAGGAAACAAACTGAGACTCGAGATCGCCGGCTCGGTGCTTGAACACTACTCTCTTTCAGCTCACACCTTTTGCAGATGCCTCACCCGACAGCTTGCACTTCACGTCTAACTTACGGGCATGCGCCCGAATGTCACTCATTGCCTTGAGGAGCACGCTCTTATCGGAAGGTGGGACTCCTTTGCTAGACATTGTGGAAAACATGTATAGAAGAAATCACTGGACAAAGGAATCTAAAGGAACTGAAGAAGTGCAGACTTCCCTTGCCCCAAAGCCTATAAAGCCTATTTATAATGGTATGGGCAAGGAAATCTAGGGAAGTTCATTATTTTGCTATAATATCATTTATTTATTTGTTCATTTTTCTATATATGATCAAAAAATTCACTAGTCCTCATGTGCTGGACAACTTCCGATGAGCAAGATAATCAAACAACTAAATATGTACACACTGTACAAATCTTAAAGTTGATGGACGCCGCAGGAAGGAAACACGACCGATCAGACGTAGAGAAGATCATATCCAGATGAGCAGCAACAAAGAAAAATACCTTACCGAATAATCGACATAAGATGTCAAAAGAAAGCCCCTCAAGACGGCCATCAACCTTTAGAATGGTCGATGGGGCACTCCTTCGGGCCATGAATCATATCTGTTAGACGATCGACGACTCTTATTAATCGAATAGGTATCGGACTTTAATATATGCAAATAATCTTGTAAATTACCAAAATGCTTTACTGAACAATTAATGATTAGGGGACTAATATGTACATTTGTAATATTGGAATCTGATTCAAGACCCATGTTTCTAAACTGAATGTAGATAGTGATGCTAGATGGCATAATCTTCGATAGAATGATTTGTTTGACCCTTTTAAATTTTTATATATTATTTTATTTTTTTTTTAATTGATTCACATAATCTTAATTTGTATTTTTTTTTATCAACATTTTATCTTCCTTTTTTACAACAATGACTTTACATTTAGAAAATTCAATTTAGGTTGTCCACCTATTACAATATCACTTCAATTACCACACAAGATTTTAAAATAGAAAAGATGGTGATAAATTAGCCACTTAGGTTGGGGAAGTCAAGATTATTTTTTGTGATTTATGCTTAAAGAAGATCAAATTAAGCAACATACTTCAGTTAAATATTATTTATTTTTATTTTAATTAGTTTTTTTTGTTATTTATTAATGTTAAGCAATATATAACTTTAATGTAAAATTTTAAATTTCTTACTTATATAATATTTTGATGTTTAGTTCTGGTGTCTTGTTTGAATCGTTTATAAAGCTGTGCATTTAAAACTATACCATGCAAGGGTAATATGGTCTTTATTTTAAAAACAACTGCAGCAGAACAGTTTCATAGTCAAGCTATCAAAACATATTGCACTAGCTGTTGTGAAGCTGCTTCTTCGAACAGCTGCTACTGTCCCAAACATATCATAAGTCTTATTTTAAAACAACTATTGAAAGGAAAAAAAAGAGGCATTTACATATAAAACGCTCTATTCCTACGTATTTACATATCTAACACCTAAATTTTGCATTTCCTATTCATATCATACGATCATTTTAACCTTTCATGCATAGATAAGGTGGTATGTATGTACAAACTCATAGGAATTGAGTTGTATGCAGCTCAAACAATAACATGACAACGTTAAAAATAAAACAATGAAAAAGTATTCTCAGATAAATCCTCAAACAAATTTTAAAATTACAATTCTGCCCCATGTACAAATTCATAAGAATTGAGTTGTATGTCGCTCAAACAATAATATGACAACGTTAAAAATAAAACAATGAAAAGTATTCTCAGATAAATCCTCAAACAAATTTTAAAATTACAATTCTGCCCTTATCCTATCAAATCCTTGAACATAAATAGCTAAGCAAAACTATTTTTTTAAGCCCTTCTGAGATTACAATGTTGGAACGAAGAAAATCTATGCAGTGTATTCCACCAAGAAGGAATTAATGATATGTAAAATTTGTAAAAAAGTCCGGCCTAAAATTAGTAAATAAATAATTTTTTTAATTTCAAAAATAAAAATAATATTAATATTATATATATATATAGTCAGAAGATGAAGTAAAAAAAAATTGAATTTGAAAATGGATTTGTTTGATTTTTTACTTCGAATATCCAAACGGCCCAAATCATCAATGTGGTAGTCCAGCCCGCATTGCAAATGAGGTGAATAGGATGACCCAACCCAGACACAATGAATTTTCAATTAGAAGGCTACAAGATTTGCATCCATACCATTCACTTCCTATGTATTTACACATTCACCTCCTGTGTATTTACACATGCAACTTGTACTTCACTCTTTAGCAGTCAAAATAGTGATATAAGGAATCTAGTAGTAGTTATGTGTAAATAAAAGTTTAGGTGTTACATATATGAAAAAATAAGAATTGGGGGGTATGCATGTAAATGCACATATTAGAATTAATTTTAATTAAAAATGATTTAAACTTTTATTGCTTTATTATATATTTTATTAAATTTGGATCAAATTAACTAGATAAATGTGATACATGTTTTTTATATGAAAAATGAAAAACACAAAAAAAAAAACAAAATTCATCTTCACAAACCGACCCAAATCAATTAGTAAATTACAGAAAAACCAATGATTTTTTTTTTCCTTTAATGGTTGGATTTAGCTCATAATTTTCATATATCAATGCAAAATAAATAAATAAATAAATAAATAAAATAGAAATTCAACAATAAGAAAGATGCTTCCCACATGCCATTAGATGTAATAAAATGACAATTTTTAAAATTAATTTAAATATTGATAATGTAGATCATTCAACCAAACAGTTTCTTCCCTTTCAGACCTGAAAATTCTCCAACCCTTATCCTCTCCCTTCCCAATTTCAATATGAGAAATCTCAAACCGATGCCCCATATAAAATAATAGGAATTTATCAGCGAAGGGAACCTCCTTGCAATTTCCTAACCCTAAGTTCCAACGCACCTCTCTCCTGCCACTTGCCTACATGGCAACACGTGAACCAAACCACAGTGAGAGAATGGCGACCACCCCCTCCCTGTCCCTCCCTGTCCCTCACCAAAAATTATTATTTCCCTCTCCCTCTCCCTCTCTAACAGGAAAAATGTTTACCTTAGAGTTATTAGAGGATTATCTTGCTATTATTGTGATAAACACAATCGCAAAATGTATTGATAGGTTATTGAGAGGTTATTGGAGGTCATGCACACACTGAATTACGTGTGAATGAAGTGCTTAAAGAAGGCTCTTTAGATATTACTAAGATGATAGAAATAAATGTGCATGCATGGTTATGAATTGCAGAAGAAGAAGGAGGAGAAGAAGAGAACCTTGAGAAGAGGGTCCCACAATCACAACGGTATTCTCTCGTCCCACAAGTCTTAGAATGCGCCTTCCAATCAGACTGAACAGCATAGCGCTTGGAGCACTTATCGCACTTCCATTTCTTCTCCCCATGTTTCCTGCTGATGCCGGTGAGATCGCCGAGAGCTCGAGATGGATCATGGTGGACGCAGCTGGGCTCCGGACAGAGATACACTCTTCGCCGGACTTCTTTGTTGCTCTTCTGCTTCAGCTTCCATGGAAGATTATGACCTCTGCGATGGAGCTGAAGGTTTTGCTCTCGCTGGAAGCCTTTGCTGCATACTTCGCAGATGAATCTGTTGGTCGCCATGAGAGTTGTGGGTGATAGAGCGATTACTTCAGCATCCGGATCTAATCAAAATCGTAATTTTAAGGGAGGAGGAGATTAAATTATGAAGAAAAAATAAAAAAAAAGTAATTTTTTTGGCATGCATGGGGGAAAGGTACTTGCTTGGATTTCCTGGGAGATTTCTCTTCTTTTTAGGAGGTGGTGGTGGCGCCGACGTTGCCGCTGCAGGCGGCGCAGGCGGCGCCGGGGGCCGCGGCGGATGGTGTTTTAGATGGTTGAAGTGGTCTTCGTCTATGATACTGAAGAAGGAACCGGAGGACGAAGCCGCCGCCATGAAGTCTTGAAAGAAAAATAAAAAAAAAAGCAATTTTTTTTTGCTGGATTTTTCTTACTCTCCTTTTATTGATCCCATGAATCCACTTCTTTTCTTCTGTGTTCCTCAGATCTTCTATAAATCTGAAATTCATGAAGGAGGGAGAGAGAGAGCACTGATCAAAAACAAATTGCCGGAGAGAGAGAGAGAAGAGAGAGAGAGAACAAACCAAGGGAGAAAAAACTCTCTTTTGCTTCCTTGCTGTCTTCCAAATTAGCTTCCTCGTCCTTCTTCTCAATTATATCATCTTCTACTAATCTCCATAGGGATTGCAGTCATTCCTCTCTACCAAACACCCACAAGTAAACTCACACACAAAACTTTATATGAAATCAAAGAGAGAGAGAGAGAGAGAGAGAGAGAGAGAGAGAGAGAGAGGTGTTTATGGACTAAGGTAGTAAGAAGAAGGCAAAGTGGTGTCGCTATGCGGGGAGGAAAGGGTCCACTGAACCGTAGGGCTCACCCTCTCCCACCTAGCTCCTTCTCTTATTTCGCATCTCCTTACATTCCAAGTCAGGACAAAGCCTTAACCATCTCTCTATTTCTCTCTCTTTCTTCTGCATAAAGTATATGATTAGATAATTATGCAAATTTGAAAAAAAAAAAAATCAAAAGATTATAAAAAACAACTTTGGTGTATTATACATTGCTAGCAAAATTTACTTAGTTGTCTGATATATTTTTTCTAAAGTTTAGTGAAATTGGTTTTAATAGTTTTGTAAGATATTAGTGGATGTGTAAATTGCCTATTTTTATTATTTTTTTTTAATTTTGAATGATCATAATTTAGTTATTTAGATGAGAATATTTATAATTAAATGTTTTGTTGGAATTAATTATGATTGTCCCAATTGACTTGGATGATAATTAGAGATCAATACATTGTGATTTTGTTATCTATGCATGAAAAATTGCTATTATGATATATATATATGTATATATATATTTATATATATATATTCTATCATCATAAATAAATTTTTTTCTCAAAATAACATATTACTTATGAAAAATATTAGGAATTGCATTTCCAAATTAATTACAAGAAAAAAAAAATTCAACCAACAGAAAGTTTAGAGAACTAAAAGATTCTTAAGCAGTAAAAATTCTAAGTTATCGTTCATCTACCTCTCAAAATATCTATATATTTACAAGAAAGAAAAAAGTACTGCAAACTCTCGATCTTGAACCCAGAGGTGAATTTAAATTAGTACATAATAAGCATTAATTCAAGTGCTTGCAATTTAAATTATAAATTTTTATCATGTTCTTGTAATTATTTAATGATGAAATTCTAATTCATATTTTTAATAGGTGAGCTCCAATGTAACAAGCTAGTTAATAAATACAATGTGATAATAAAATCAAAATTTACAAATTGTAAGTCTATATGGACCTACAAAAAATATTAGTTGCGCCCACAAAAATTGATGTTTGAGTCCTCTATAGTAGAAGAAGCCAAAGGCTGTAATGCTTAAATAATTGTGTCTTGCAACTTTGAAAATATCTTGCCACTAAAAAATAGAAGCATCATAAATCCTAAATTAAATTAAAAAAAAAATTATTGTCATTTAAATTCTTTTTAGACTTAAGATGTAGTTTTATTTCATGTTTGTTTTGCTTTTTTTTGTCATTTAAATTCTTTTTAGACTTACTTAAGATGTAGTTTTATTTCATGTTTGTTTTGCTAATCTTGATTTATTAAAATTATACATATTGTCATATAAATATTAGAGCATGTATCTATTATTTGAAGTAGAAATTTATACTCATTATTACTTATATATATATATATATATATATATATATATATATATAGAGAGAGATATATAGAGAGAAGAGAGAGAGAGAGAGACTATTCTATCAACTTATTATTTAATTCAATAAATGATAGTGCAAATTTAGTCTATTTAACATGTTATCTTAGCTAGGTTTATAGGGCGTTGAATGTATTATATATACTAATCAATTTAGAGTCCTTTTGGGTGGATGCAACTTTTTTAAAAAGTTGTTGTAAAACTGTGGTGAAGAAAACAACTTCTTGAAAAGCTTCCAAGGGAATTTAAAATATGTATTTTGCAAAAAAAAAAAAATCAGACAATAGCTTTTGTACATCCACCACACTTTAACTGATCAGGTTTTAAAAAAAACAGCTTCCTACAACATAAATTTATAGAAATTAACAAGAAAGTAGTTTTCCAATGGAAGTTGTGGTGACAACTGAAATTGAAAGTTGTTAGAAAATTATCTCAACAAACAAACCCTTAATTTTTTGGGTGATCCTAGCTTTCTTTATAACTTTGTAGTCCTCTTATTATTTCTCAAAAATTCATAAAAATGCTAGATAACTTGTGATCATTTTAGTCTCAAAGCATAAATCTCTTTTGTTATTTTGTGTAAGAGATACAAAATTCATCAATTCACTTGTTAGTTATGGATACTGAGCACTCTATTAGTGATTGCTTTGTTATTCAAAATAGTTTTCGTACAACAAAGTTGAGTATTCTTCTCCTCATATTTATATTTATATTATTTGTTACCATCCACATATCATTTTCCATTGACATTAGTCTTTTGTTACTCTGCTCATCATAGTGATAGAAATAATTATTGTAATTTATTGGTGTGAAACTCGATTGAAAAATTCATTCATCTTAAAACTAAATGATGATTTTTTTTAAAAAAAGGATGATATGATGTGTAGTTATATATCTTGAGAACTCATCACAATCCAATGAATTAATCAAAGTGATAAATGGTTAATTTTAAAAGAATTTAAATGCCTAAGAGGGCATACACATCTAATTAAGTACTATAACCTAAATCAACAATTTGTTTGAGACATCAATATGCATATAATTGACAAAGTATGATATCACAAAAAGTGACTTGGAATCATTGACAATCTCTCTCTCTCTCTCTCTCTCTCTCTCTCTCTCTCTCTCTCTCTCTCTCTCTCTCTCTCTCTCTCTCTCTCTCTCTCTCTCTATATATATATATATATATATATATATAACCTTGCAAAACAATTAGCTGTTTATAACTAATTAATATAAAATATTAAACTGCTCCCCTCTACCAATTAGCTCTTTATAACTAGCTAATACAGCTTCAAACGATTGGTCCTTATGCTGCTCGCAGAGAGGAGCAGTAATCGATTTAAATTTTGTCGACCGTTAGCTTGTAATACCCCATGAACATCACTGACCTTCTTCCTCAATCTATTCTGTAATTAGCAAATTATTTAATGAAATACATTATAAAGCATTCACATCACTCCTTTTTCTCCTCTTACTGTAAATTATAAATCATTTTGGCACCTCACGACAAATATTTTCTGCTCATATTTCCTAATATTTTAATTACAACTAAATGAAAGGCATTGAAAGTCTATGCACACCTTCTCATTAAACATTTTTAGTTTTCTAATGAATAAATTATTGTTTTCCTTTTTTGTAAGTATTCTTTTGTGTCTTAAAAAGGTAGAGGAATGAGTATGTTAGAGTTCACACAGGCTTCCACTCCATAGCTAATTAACTATGGGGGAATGATGAGGGAAAGTTTGATGCCCATTTCTAATCTTTATGAAAAAGACCATCAAACTATATAAATTATATATTGCAATTGTACTGTTACATAAACATTTTTTGCATTTTACGGTATGATGGTAAGCTTTGTACAAGCAACAGTGCAAAAAAGAACAAAAGGAAACAGACAAAGTAACAATTTATTAAGAAAGAACTTAGAAACTTTCAATGAGAAGGTGTGGAAGTACTTTCAGCTCATTAAATTTAGAAGGAAAAAAAAA